GTTCCATACTACAGTGCTACAGTGAAACAATGCAACAGTGCTACAATGCAACAGTGCAACAATGCTGCACTAATGTTGGCTGTATATATATGCCTAGTAATTCATTTGATGCAACATTTGCAACGTTGCATTTTTATTGCTGTGAGACTTCAATACCTAAATCTCTACACATATGATTTTTAACCTCCTATATCCTTCCAATTCACTTCATAATTTCTCTTATTTGAAGACATCTATTGAACAAAATGACATTACTAGTACACAAGTACATTCTTAAACATTATGTCTGAATCACAAAATATCCATCATATACACTTGATTGGCCTAAAATGTGCCCACCGTGGGGTATATATACGTAACAAACATTAAAAAGCTAATAACTTTAAAACCCTTCCTTATTTAATCAAAATGCCAAGTTTAGTACATGCAGACTCATACAGATCACATCTTTTCAAAAATTCAAAGTAATTCTATTGCTAGTTTTAAAGAAAATGTGCCCACAAGGTGTTAAAAGACATAAATTTACATCTTTGTGAGTATTGTGGGAGATGATAGCACGCAATTCATATACTTAGTTTTTAAATACAATACCAGTTACCTGGGAAACACGGTGAAGCAACAATTGGATCCAAATCTGTTCAAGGTAAAACACTAACTGACGATAACTACCAACTCCAAGCCGCCATCGCGCGCCCGAAAAGAGCCTTTGACTAACAGGAAGTGACGTTTCAGGAGTTTTTAATATTGGCTTCCTGTAATGTTTCCAATCCATGTACGTATAATCTATGCTCTGACCCATCCCCTGCAAGGAATGTAATTACACAACCAAAAGTAATCATGCCTGAATCAGCAATATTGCCCAAAATGAACGAATCAAGTCTGATATCAGTACTGGTAGAGTCCTGACAAGTATCATTGCTGGTCATGCCTGATGCTCTGGCCTGAACCAGTGCAAGACCTTTTCATGATTGTGTCGCAACTGATTTCATGACTGTATCATACAGTCATGAAATCAGTTGGTATCATGACTGATTGCCCAAAATACATGATCCAGTACTGATTTCACGACTGATTCAGGCTAGTATCATCCTGATTCAGACTCTAAACTTTTGGTTGTGTAGACTATAAGGGCTTCCTCATAAGTTGATAATATCTATATGGTTGAGGTTACGCTTTGCATTTTGAAAAAACTACTGTTTTATGATGATCAATATTAATAGGATAGAATAAAAAAGAATATAATGGGGATAGTTTGAAAATTTCAAAAAGAAATGTTTGAGCACATCCACCAAATCTGTGTGAAGGAGATGCATAAACTAATATTCATAAACTTTTTAATATTCATTTGGATGCTATAAATGAAAAATTATTCTGGGTGCCATGATGGGGGTATACTTTAATTATCGGGGATTTATGATAGGCTCACATTGTAGTATCTATGCTCACATACATTGCAAGGAACAAGTGGATAAATAATTACTGGAAGTGATTATTATTTCCATAGTCAAGTCATTTTGCTTGTTGGTACTTAATTGGTAACAGAAGTGCATACATGGTGATTGCAGACACATGATGCATTAAAACTTGAAAGATCATGCTAAATATAAGTACATGCAGTTAGTCATTCACGGTGGAGTTATATCGCAGCTTACTTTTTCTACATAAACACAATCTAGCTACATTGTCACTTTTCTACCATAATAGGTATTATAATCTGATCATGCCTCACTCCATGGTCAGATCATGTAAGTATAAACAGAATAGGTTTGTACAGCTGCATAGGTGAGCAGACAAGAATTTACATAGGCTCACTGTATGATTCAGAGGTTGCCATTGTGATAAGGTATGTGTGAATATTTTGTAAAAGTGTCATTCATACAATATAATAATAACTGTACATTTAATCACTCAGCAGTGATAAAATGTACAGTTATTATGCAATTATTATAATTATATTGTATGAATATATTCATATGAGATGGTTATTGGTATAGGTGTTATTGATGCTGATTTAACAGTCATGATTGTATTGCAATCATGACTGTTAAATCATCATCAATAGCAACTATGCCAATAACCATCTCAGAGTGCTGAATGTGAATCAAAACAACCCTAACTAATGTAACTACCTGAACATGAGAAAGAGAGAGATTGTAGGTAAAAAGGAAAGAGGAAGAAGGCCAGAGTGAGAAACAACTATAATAATGAACACATTCCAGCACTATACTAGTATGGTAGTACTGTAGTACCACTTACTATTGTACATGTAATACCTTATTTGGTAAAAATAGGTAAAAATAGACAAAGTTAATGTTAACTTATTAAGCATAATGGCCTCACAATAAAATTCCTGAGCACTATAGTCTTGTCTGCATAAATATAGGGATTAAATTATGTAAGTACATGTTGAGCAACAAAATTAACTGCCAATTGTAGTATTAACAAATTTCTTTAATACTTCACATTCAGTCTGTAACTGCATGCTGGTCAACAGCCGTTGGGTGTAGCCATTATAGCTAATGACAAGAGAAGTCATTCTTAGTCTCTGAGTTCTTGAAGCCTTTAAAATAAGAATATGACTTTATCATGATGTATAACTCTCTTAAATAGTCTCAGTAGTCTTATATCATGAGGCATCAGGATAAATCTTTTAGTGTGGTGTGCCAGGAGGTTGCTGTCATTCATTATACTCACTGATTGTTTTCAATTGATAAGTGAGTGCAATTAGTTGAAGATCAACAGCTGAC